GAAATGGCGATAAAAGGGTAGCGCTCAGACCCATCCTACTGGTCCCCATCTGGCTTCCTCAGTCCTCAGTCCCAGACTTCCCTCAAGGGATGTGCAGAGGAAGCAGAGCCCTCTTTTGGGGCAGGGAAGGTCCTTTGCTCTTTGGCTTGCAGGAGACAGGTTCCCTTAGGTAGCCTTTGAAGGGATTTCTGGGATAGAGGGCCTGCCCAAAGCCAGTCTGGAAGAACTGAAAGGGAATGGTTCGAGTATGGCTCACCTGCGGGGGAGATGGCATCACTAGTTGTCGTACACATTTTTCTAAACTAGGGTGGATAATTAGCTCCTACCTCCCCAGCAGAAGGAATTAAATTCTTTGACTGAACTCACTGAGCAGGCATAAAAGCCAAGGAGAAGCCAGAGGTTTGTTCAGGAAAGTAGCAATTTTATAGGGAAAACAGGCACAAGGATTAGACTACAGAAGTCGGCCCTCTGAGAAGACCTGGCACCCGGGATAGTAGGGTAATGGCCAAATATTGACTTTTGTGTTATAAACCTCATTACCAAATTGTCTGGTGCAGAGGAAGGAGGAGGATGAGGCAGAACCGGGAGTGCAGGGAGGCAAGAGAGAAATGGGGTGCTCAAAGCCGTGGGTGAGCCAGCAGATGTGTGCGTGTGGTACAGATGTGCAGATCAGCAGGACCTTCTGCGGGTCTCATCTCCCGGGGATGATGTCCTTTGGGGAGAGGGTGGGAGGCTGGGTCTGTGCCTGTGTCCAAAGGAGAAAGGAACGGGGTGGAGAAATAGATGGCTGAGAGACAGTGATGCCTGGTAGGGGCCCCAGCCTGAGGCAGAGCCACTGTTGTCCTCCTGGGCTACCCGACTCTGTTGTACACCCTTACTAACACTCTTCCTTTAGAGACACTGCCAGTACTAGAGCCGGGACTAGTGGAACAGAGGTCAAATACACTGAGCCTGCACCCCGGCATGTCACACAGCTCCCTGATTTCCCCCCACTCATTTCGCACTGCATCCCCAGCCTGACACATCGTGGTTGAGTGTTCAATAAACAGTGCCCAGAAGGGCCAGGGAAATAGCTCAGTCGGAAAAACACAGACCACACAAGCCTGGGGACCCGAGTTCAATCTCCAGCATCCAGGCAGAAGGCCGGGTGTGGCAGCGTATGCCTGGAATCCCAGTGTTGAAAAGGCAGAGACAAGGCCGGGCGGTGGTGGTGCACGCCTTTAATCCCAGCACTTGGGAGGCAGAGCCAGGCGGATCTCTGTGAGTTCGAGGCCAGCCTGGTCTCCAAAGTGAGTTCCAGGAAAGGCGCAAAGCTACACAGAGAAACCCTGTCTCGAAAAACCAAAAAAAAAAAAAAAAAAAAAAAAAAAAAAAAAAGAAAAGGCAGAGACAGATAGATTGGGCTCCCTGGCTAGCAAGCCCCGCTGAATCAGTGAAGCCCCAGGCCCTGAGGAGAGAGCCTTGCCTCAAAAACCAAGGTGGGCATTCTGAGGAATGACATCCGAGGTTGACCTCTGGCCTGCGTGGGTACCTGTACATACACCACATACACAAAATAGGTTCCGAATGATCGAGTCTTCGAGTGATGGGCAGGATGATGTCATAGCACATTACCGACTGTTTACTCATCCCCATAACATTCTTATGAGCTAGAAATAATAAGAGTGACAGCAGCTATGATTTTATGGAGGACTCTCCCAAGTGTGTTGGCTCTATTAACCTCTGTAATCTCCCAGGCAACCATTAAGAAAGGTTCTTCTGCTTAGAACTGCAGAACTAAGCGCTGGGATCAAGTGAGTGTTTGAAGGACTCAGGGCAGGCAAGGCAATGAGACTGTGCAGGTTATTGCCTGCGCCTTTTCCATTCCACCAAGTGCTTTTTATCTCCCTTTCTTTCTACAAGGCCTGGGGGAACAGAGTAGAGGGAGATGGGTCTCAGGCTGCCCTAGATCCGCTAAAATCCGACAAAGCCGCGGAGCACAAAGACCCTTCCATATCTCACTGGCTTTGTTGGTCTAGAAACCTGCAGATCCCGGGGCTGCAGCACCCAAACATTTGCCCAGCGTCAGTCAGGTCACTCAGGGCCAGGCTCAGATCTAGCAATCCTGGTTCTTCCTCCCGTCAGTCCCCCAAGTCACCACCAGCACCTGCCTTAGGCAGTCAGATCCAGTTCCAGTTAACTTCTTAAGGCTGGTGGCTGCAGCAAGAGAACACAGCCTCGAGTGGAAGCCGCTGGACCGGTCCAACCAGACAGAAGCCGCAGCCTCTCTTCACTCAAAACGGGGAGAAGCCTGAGGGTGGCTTTTCAAACAAAAGGTCCAGAAGGAGCAAGGAAGTAAGCCCTGGGAAACCCCCTCACATTAGCAGTACACCCCAGTCTGGCCACCAGAAAGAGGATGTCTGAACACAGACATCCACAGATGAGGGCTCCCTGCTGGACCAGACAGCACAGGTCACATGATGCTCTAAGTGCCAGGCTGATGGTTGGGGGCACTTCCTATTCAAGAGAGAAAACCGGATCTTAAAGGTGCAGGTGCAGGCAGCTGCTTGGTCCCAGAGGAGTGGAGGAGAGCTGAGCGACTCCTCCCGACTGCAGCAGCAGCACACCCTGGATGGGCCTTCAGGTCCTCACCTCCCCCAGATAATGTCCTCCTCTTCATTTTTTTTTTTTTTTTTTTTTTTGGTGTCTTGAGATAGGGTTTCTTTGTGTAGCCCTGGCTATCCTGCAACTAGCTCTGTAGACCAGGCTAGCCTCGAATTCATAGAGATCTGCCTGCCTCTGCCTCCTGAGTGCTGGGCTCACAGCTCCAGATAACATCTTCAGTACTTTGTTGTTTTTTTTTTTTTTTTTTTAAAAAAAAGCACTTTTCTCCTATTGCTAGACCCTTGATGGCCTCTGCTACTCGGGCCCTATATTTCCTGGAGATGATGCTTAGCCTTGCACCAAGAGAGGCATATGCTTTGGCTTCACTCTCAAATCACTTAAGGTTTAGGAGACAGAGCAGAACAGAGGAATGTTCTCTCTCCTAAAAACTCCCTTCTGCTGCAGCCAGACTGCCCAGAGTCCCATGGACACCCACTCACTTCGCACCTCTGTTATCTGTGCTCACGGTGTTCCATCTGCTCCCTTCCACTGCAGGAACCCACCCACAGGCAACCCACACTGCAGCGCCCAGCTTCAGCCTTCCTGCCTGATGGAACCCACAGGGACCACTCCCTTTCTAACCTCCATTAGCTACAGCAGCTCTCATTGAGTCCAACATCTCTCCTCAGCTGCCTCGGGCACATCTTCCAGGGAGAAGGACCACAAGACCTTTACTGGGAGCAGTGGTACACTGTCGTCCATCCCTTCTATCTGAAGAGTGCTTTACCAAGTACTTTCAGATGTTATCTCCTTTTGGCAATAGCTCTTTATTGCCCATGTCCGTGTCTTGCTTCCTCAACTAGATCAGAGACGTCTATGGGCAGGAAAGAGTAGAGTCACTAAAGAGTAATGTCACTAAAATGCCTAGCATGGTCCTTCATGGGAATACTCCATTACATTACCAGATGGGATAGTCTTATCGGGAAACTGCGGGAACATTAAGGCTTTGGCTGCTCTGCTCCCCGCTAACCCTCACCTGGGAGCATGGCTGCAAGGAAAGAATGCATGGTACAGACCTAACTTCAGGGTTGAAAGATGGAGAGGACATCAGTGCCTCAGTCTCCCCGGCTGGCTCTCTCACGGAGTGTCTCGGGCTCTTATGTAGAATACACAGGAAATTATCAAAGAACCAGCCACGGTGATATCAACATGGGCCAAGAATCTGAGCTCTTGTCTTAGCAGCAGTCGGTGAACAGCCTTGTTTTCTCCATTCATGAGACAAACGAAACAAATGAGGAACGATGCCTAGCTCAGTATCCGGTATGGAATCTCCCAAGCCTAGCATCCAGGGCACACACGTTTTCTTAATGGATACATTATGAATCTGAGCTGGCAGCCCCCCGTTTCCTCAGCTCTTTGTCTTCTGGCTGCCCCTTCCTTGGGAAACTTTCCAAATCACCTAAGGAAACAGCTTCTCTGGACCATCCAATTCTTTCCTTTCCATTGTAGTTAATGCTGGAAAGCGTGGCCAAGGAGGGCAGAAGCACAGGCCTTCCGTCAGCTGTAAATAAGAAAGCACTTAAGAAACCCAGTGGGGCAGATCTGAAGGGCTGGAGTGAAGGAAGACAGATTTCTTTGTCTTCTGTGGACTTCAGAATCCTAAGGCGTCTGTGCATCCTGTGGAAAGAGGTATCTGGCCATCTTCTGATGGCAGAGGGCAAACTCCAGGAATAGGTACTAGGCCAATATACCAAGGCTGGGATAGGAGTACTACCGAAGCATACCAAGCACCTCACTGGCTCATCACTGCCCTTGAAGCAGTGCACTCCAGAGGGTTTCCGGGGAAGTTCCGTGCTCTATCTACGTTCTACCAGCTGGAAGAAGCCGGCTGAGGGAGGTCAGGAGGCAGAAAGACAAGGGTTGGTGGTTAGAGGTGTGGGGTGAGGGATGGTTCTCTTTCATGGAAAGCACAGCCTCTGCAGGGCCATTTGGTACTTCAGAAACAGAGATTCCTTCATTCCTCTGCTGAAGAAAGGGGCATATGTCTCCTGGGGGAGGCCAACTCCTCACATACTAGGCAGGAGTCCTGAGGTCTTCAGTAGTGATGGGAACCAGTCAGGCCCTCAAAGGGAAAACTCCAGGTCACTCCAGGACTTGTAACATGACTGCAGGGTGCCGACTATTGTTCTTCAGGCAAAAGCCAGGCGCGCGCACACACACACACACACACACACACACACACACACACACACACACACACACACACACACCACACACCCATACCCCTTGGCTCTGCACTGCAGATAGTTCAACAGCTCCTGGCCTCAGACTCTTGTCAAGGATAGTCAGGAAGTTTCCATAGAAGGAACCTGTTGCCCTTTGCCCCCCAGCCTGCAAGCTCTCTCATAGCCCATCTGGCTCCTCAGCCACTCCCTGCCTCACTCCCATGACTTTGCCCAACCCCTGCCTCATCCCTGAGGGCTCCAGAGAGGCAGGCAACCCTCTCTCAGGCAACACTCAGCCCCTGTCCCATCTCTCCAAAACGATTCTTATTCAAACAGTGGTCCAACCCAAGCTCCCGGATCTCTTAGGAGCTGGCTTTGGTGCCCTGGAGAAATATGGACAAGTTTGTTCTCTGGCTCCGAGTGACTTGACGAGAGCAAAGCGCATGAGGAGACCCTAAGAGCTCAGTAAGACGGACAAACAGCACTCAGCCAGTGTCACACTCCAGCTAAGTGCTTCACAAGCATTCATTCATTTAATCTATATGACACCTCCGGAAGGTCTCGTTATTAGACCCATTCAACAGACGAGACACTGCAGCTCAGAAGTGTAAGTCATAGTCAAGGCTGTCCCCAAAGGAGGGCTCCAGGTATGCCTGAGAATGTTTGCCTCTTACCTACCAGCATGGCTCTGCTCCTCCTGGCTGCAACTACCCTCACCTTCTCTCTTGGCAAGGCACGTGTGTTGGGGGAGGAGTGAGAAGAGGGGGAGAGGGACTCCCCAAGAGGAAGCTAAGAGCTGGAGCCCTCCCTGAAGGCAGCAGGATTCCTACCGGATGATCAGGCAGCTGGCAGGTAGTTCTGCCAGGAGCCATGAGAAGGCTACTTCAGAGGCGACCAAGTCCGGTCGGTACCCTGGAATCAGATGCTGGTGGAGTGCCCTCAAGTCAGTCCTCCTGGTGGAGAGGGCCTTCCCTTGACCATGAAGGAGAGACCACTGACTCACTCTCAAAATAGTGACCCTCCTGGCCTTGCCAGGGTGTCACCAGGCCTTTGTCTCGGTGTCCGGTATGTCCTCTCTACTTGCGGACCCCCTGGTCTACATGAACATCCCCGATCTTCCTTCACCCTCCTTCAAAACAGCCGCTAGCTTCCCCCCACATCCTCCTGCCTCTGCGCCGCCCGCCGCCGTTGTATCTCTGCCCTCCTCCAGGTAGGTGTCTTGTGGCTTTACCTTCACAACTGCCCTGGAAACTCCGTCCCTTTGATCCGTGTCCCCTCCTCTGCCCACTCCCATCCTGGCTCCACATCGAATCACCCCCAAACTAAGGGTTACCTCAGTGACTTATTGACTGGTCTCCACCCCGACCCCCTTTTCCTCCTCTCTTCATCTGGAGCTGTGGTTATATCACTTCACTGGCAGTGAGTCTCCTGCCCCAGCTCGGGGTACTCTGGCCTACACCCGTCTCTGTCTCCTCAGGTTGGAGGGGAAGGCTCCCCAGCCAGAAGACTGAACTCCCACCCCTAGTTCCTGGTTGCAGGCAGCATGTACCCCTCACCTGCAGGAACCGAGGTTCAGGGCCCCAGTCCGGGGACCTCTCACCCTTAGGTGTACTCCCTCTCCCTACCTCCCGCGCCACCCACCGTCTCTACCTTGAGGGGCGCACAATCCCTCCCGGGCTGGGGATGAAGAAGCAGCCACCGGGAAGGGAGGATGGGGCGCCCCCGGGCCACCGCCCCTTACCGATGGTGGAGATGTGCGAGGAGTGGAACTCGTTGTCGGTGAAGCGGCACAGCAGGCAGGTCTTGCCCACCCCGGAGTCCCCAATCAGCAGCAGCCGGAACAGCACATCGTACTGCTTCGCCATGGCAAGGGACTCAAGGGGGCCCGCGGGTGGGTGGCGGGCGGGCGGCGGCGGGCTCAGCCCCGCTCAGCCTCTGCCATCGCGGCCGCTGGCGAGAAAGAAGCGGCCCGGCCCCGGCGCTGGCCTCGCCCGCTCGCTCGCTGGAGCGGGGAAGCGCGGCTGCGGCGGGAGCGCGGCGCCGGGAAGCTCGCGCTGGCGGGAGGTGGGAGGGGGACAGCCGCCGCTGCCGCCCCTGCCCGGCCCTCCTCCCGTCCCCTGCGCCGCCGCCGCCGCAGCGGGAGAGGGGGAGGGGAGCGGCGGGGACCCCGATGCCGGCCCGGGAGGGGGTCCCCGCTCAGCTCCCAAAGCCCTGGGGTGCAGGGACCGGACCGGGGTCGGGGAGGGGCAACGTTTGCGTCTTTCCACCGACGATCTGAGTGGCGGAGTTGGGATGAGCGCTCACCCAACCCACCTCGCCAACCTTGACTTCCCGGTCCCATCGCTTCTCCTCGAATCCCACCCCAAGCCTGATTCTAGTCACTCCGCCCTACCGGGGCACTGGTCCCTGCGGCGGCCTGGCCCAGCTTAACCAGTGGCAGGTCCTCACCTGGGCTCACCCTTGGTTGGAGGGCCTTCATCGGGGTCTGAATTGGAACGCCCTTCCCTCCACCAACACTCCAGTGTGTTGCGGAATTTTCTCTCATTGCCATCTGGCCTCCCCACAACAGAGTGTCACACAATCCCACCTCCCCTATTCTGTCTTAAACCGGGAAAAACACTTGCTGACCCCGTTCAGTACTTCAGGGTAGACAGATAAGTTATCATTTAACAAATAATCCTAATGGAAAATTATTTGGAGGAGGTTCCTTCAAATGTCTTCTTTGGGTCTAAGTTGCTAGGATGAATTCTCCGATTACTAAATATTTCTGTACACAAATGGTACCCAAGAATGAATGGTCCTCTCTAGAGACCCAGTTTACTAGTGCCAAATGTGTTATCACCTGAGAGGAAAATCAATCCTCTCTGGAGTTCAGAAAATTGTCTGAGCTTAAGAACTAGTATTAGGGGACAGCAATTCTAGTTTATTGTGTCTTTTTAAAGCAATGACTGTTGGTTTACGTGTGTGCATGTATGAGTGTGTGTGTGTGTGTGTGTGTGTGTGTGTATTTCAGGCTGAATATTGGATGGAAAATGGATTTCTCTGTAGTAGTTCAAGGAAAATGATAAGCCTATTGTCTTCAAATGAACTATATTTCAAGCAAAGTGTCTAAATGTATATTAAAGGGGGAAAACCTTAAGCCCATTCGCTACTTTGATCTTAAGGAACAGATCCTAGAGTGTCCATTAAGATTCACAGGTGTAGGGTTGGAGCTATGGCTCAGGGGTTGGGGACACTGGCTGCTCTTCTAGAGGTTCAATTCTTAATACAGCATACAAGCCCCACATGGATGCTTACAGGCCTCTTAACTCAAGTCCCAGGGGGTCCGAGGCCCTCTTCTAGTCTGCAGGCACCAGGCATGCATATGATGCAGATAGGCATGCAGGCAAAACACCCACACACATAAAATAAAATGTAAAGATAAATAAATGGGATAATTAAAAAAAGACTCACAGGTTCGTTTCTCTTCATTGAGTTTTTGTTGGGCTTCCAGGGCATTCTGGGGGTTCTGGGGTGAGACACATGAGTTCTCCCAGTGCTCTGCTCAACATCTTTGAAACCTTGATTCTCACTTTCCTCACCTCACAATAAGGGTATTCAGGGTGACAATCTTATAGGATTATTAAAAATAAGGTGGTGTGGAGAAAGGACTTTGTTTAGCATGGTCCTTGACTTGATAAATCCTGAGGTAGAGAAAATACCATTGGTGTTTTCTTTCTGCTTCCCTGAGCTATAAAAATAGTCCTCAGATGATGGCTAGGGATATTTTTGCTGAACGGAGGCCTAATTTGCTCTTATTTTTTTTCCCCCACTCACCAGGGCAAAGAGCACAGAGCGGAAGCTGCCTGCAGCCCTCCCCTTTAGGCACCCTGGCTGCTTTCCGGTTGCTCCACTGTGAGTACTGTTCTCTCTCTTGGGGATGGTAGTGGTTCTCTGCTGCTCTGTCAGAAAGCAGGAAAGACATTTGAGATGAGGTAGCTCTCTCAGTCCAAAGGGAAACTTTATTTTTAAAGAAATTGTGTTCTCTAGGCAAGACAGGAAAATGAATGAAGCATTCGGAATGATTCCAGTGGGGTTGGGGATTACTGGGGAAAAAAAAGAAGAAAAAGAAAAAGAAAAAAATGAGACTATTTCATCATACCGGGCTGATTTCAAATTTAGTAGCTTACACTGTTTGTGTAAATGCATGGGGGGGGGGGAGAGTGCTAGAGAGATAGGACTCAGTGATTAAGAGTACTTGCTGCCTGCTCTGGCAGAGGACTGGAATTTGGTTCTCAGGCCCCACACTGGATGGCTCACAATTGCCTGTAACTCCAACTCCAGAGGATCTGAGGCTCTCGTCTGTTCTCCACAGGCACATGTGCGCGCGCGCGCACACACACACACACACACACACACACACACACACACACACGGAGACAGTTAGAGAGAGGACACACACACACATACATATAGATTAATCAATCTTTACAAATAAAGGGACCCAGCAGTAGTGGTGCCCATCAGTAAACAAATGCTGAAAAGAATGAGGCAGGAGAATTTCAGGATTGAGGTCACCCCGGCGCTATATATTTACTGGGCCTGGTAGCATATGTTTATAATCTTAGCACTTGGGAGGTAGAGTCTGGAAAAGCACTGTGACTTCAAGGCCATCCTGGTCTACATGTCAAGTTCTAGCCAGAATAACATAGTGAAATCCTGACTAAATAAATAAATAAACAGTAATTTTAAAAGGGCCAGTGAGATGCTCAGTGAGGAATAGGGGAGAGAGGGGACTGGGAAAAGGTATTGGCCACCAAGCCTGGTAGCCTGAGTTCAATCCCTGGGTACCACAAGGTGGAAGGAGAGAACTGACTCCAGTAAGTTCTTCTCTGACACACACACACACACACACACACACACACACACACACACACACACACACGAGGAGGAGGAGGAGGAGGAGGAGGAGGAGGAGGAGGAGGAGGAGGAGGAGGAGGAGAAGAAGAAGAAGAAGAAGAAGAAGAAGAAGAAGAAGAAGAAGAAGAAGAAGAAGAAGAAGAAGGAGAAGAAGAAAAGAAAAGTGTGTTCTGGGCATGGTGGTATAACCCCAGCTACTGGAAAGGATAAGGCAGGCATGTTTTGAGTTCAAGGTCAGCTTGGGATGCACTGTGAGACCCTTTCTCAAACAAGACAGAACTAGAGAGATGAGGGGGCTGGCCTAGACCAGCCAGCAACAGGGGTACAGAGGGTCCCACAGGTGTGAGTTTGTATGGGTGTGTTTGTAAGGTAAGAGTATGATCCCTCAGGGCCCCACAGCAGTCCTGCCTGACAGCCCAAGATTCCCATCCCTGGACCAGAGCTGTGAGTATCGTGGGATGGAGGTGCTGAGATGTCGAGACAATGTTAGCCAAAGAATTACGCAGATCAGTGGAGGCGACCAAGTTGACTTTCACCACCCTGCAACCCAGGCACACTGTGCGACGTTTTGACATCCTCCCTAGTTGTCTTCAGCTTGGACTGAGGAAGTCTCAGTGGAGCTGAGAGACATCAAAAGAGTGATTGCTGAAATGACTGCAGATCCCACAAGCCTTCTAGAAGCAGTCACTCAATTATACTGATTCATTTGCCAGGAAGACAAGTCTTCCGACTCACCCCCCACCCCACACCAGCCACACTGAGCATGCTCCCGAGGGCACCACTGTGGGATCTGCCATAGCAACAGCCGACTAGCTGGAGCAATGCTCGGTGGGCAGCCCACCCACCACTGAGACAGCACAGCTGGTCCACAGGCTCCTCGTTAGCTTTGTTCTCAACATCTCTTTCAGATTCGTCCTCATGTGTCCAAGCGCGCATGACAGTGGGTGGAGTGCCCACCTTTCAGGAAGATTCCAGCTTAGAAACAGAAGAAATATGACAGACACCCCCCACTGCACCCCCCCGCCATGCACACACACAGCCCCCATGTCAGTACCACCCTCCTACTTCTTTCTGTTTTCTTTAGGTGGGAAGGAGAAAAGGAGAAGGGCAGGGTGTCACATTGTAGCTCAGGTTGGACCAGAACGTATCATGTGGTAACCTAGGCTGACTCATAGCAGTCTTTATACCTCAATCTCCCTGTGTCAGAATTACATGTCTGTCTGATCCTGAAATGGGAAAAAGTGACTCTGAAACGGAAAAAAACAAGTTCTTAGAGATGCGGATAGCTTAAGGCTAGGAAACAAAGGAAATATAACTGTGGTGGTGATTTGTGTTGATACAAAATGACTTTCCAGTTGCCCTCAGTTTCCTGGCCGCCACTCTTAGGGCTGCTGTAACAAAGTGTCACAGACTGGGTGGCTTGAAAAACAAACAAACAAACAAATGTTTATTTTCCCACAATTCTGGAGGTGAGAAGTTAGAATGAAGTGTTGACAAGGTTGTTTCTTCTAAGTCCTCTGTTTCTACCTTGGAGATGGCATCTTCCTGCATAGATAGTCTTTCTTCTGTGTGTGTCTAATTCCTGATCTCTTCCTCATATATAGACATGAACCAGGGGACTGGCGAGAGGGCTTAGTGGGTGGAGACATTTGCTGTGCAAGTCTGATAACCCAAGTTAATTCCCAGAATCCTCATAAAGGTGGCAGGAAAGAACCAGCTCCACATAGGTTCCCTCTGACATCCACACTTGTGAGTAGGCACACACACACTTATACACACATACACATTTTAAATATATATTAATGAAAATATACCAGCCATATTGGGTTACTCTAATTATCATTTCCCCCTCCAAAATGGGGTCTATACAGCCTTGGCTGGCCTGGAGCTCACTATGTAGACCAGGCTGGCCTCAAACTCACAGAGATCTACCTTCCTCTGCCTCTGAGTGCTGGGATTAAAGATGTGCCCCACCATGCCGAGCCTAAGCTACCTTTTTAAAGTCTATATGTGCAGAAATTATAAACAAAGAAACCATAAGCAAGGTTAAAACAAAGCACCCACAGTGTTTTTTCTTCATCTTGTTTTGCAGTGTTGGGGAACAAAGCCAAGTACTAGGAAACCACTGAGCTAGACCCAAGCCCCAGAGGGCTTTCTTTAGGTGCCGATCATATTTGCAAGTCTGGAAACACAGGTTTATCTAGGCAGAACCAGTGCCTCCCAGAGGGAAAGTAAACCCGGGCTCTTCTTATGAAGTCCAACGATTGGACCCCAAGATAAACTAGAGTTGGCATTAAATGTGTAAGTGCGTTAGAATGCCCAGGTCAACTGTCATTCAAACAGATCACACTGGTGTTCTCAAACCTGTCAAGGCATTATTAGATTCCAGAAAATCATTCCTTCTATCAGATTTGTTTCTTCATGATAAAGTGAGGAAGTCTTCCTCCTGTAAGGACATCTCTAAAGATTTCTGATATTTCTTGTCGCCGTTGTTGTTGTTTTTTAAGCATCCTGTGGTTATTTTTACTTTAATTTCTATCAAAGAAGGTCTCTCTGTTAATTGAGAACAGGGTTTAGGACTTGGAGTCCTAGGTTCAGATGACCACACAGGCTTGGGGGGATCTACCTACCATTGAGCCCATAATAGACACCAAACCTGAGAAGCCTCATCACACATAATTTCCTGTGTGGCCAGAGCTTTAGGAATCGTTTCATTGTCTCACAGCAAGAAATGAGAGCTGTGGGGTGCTTCTCACAGCTTCCTAGCGGGCGGCCTCCATGTGGAGGATTTTGTAATGGGAATGTCTCAGAAATGAGATCTTTCCCTTTATGAGACATGACTTGCAACCAGCAACCATGAGATACACGTCATCTTAAATACTTATTGTCAGAATTCAGTTCCAGACTGAATTTTCCCTTCCCAGAACCCTTCCCCTGGGGCAGTCCCTTTGAGCCAAGCAGTGGGAGGTTGGGCCAGTTCAGCACCTTTCAGGGTTTGGAAGGTGCAACTTTTCCTGTTTGTTTCTCTGCCTCTTCCTTTCTTTCGCTTGCTGGCCAGAACCTTTGGGATTCCTTGCTCTTTTTCTAAAGTCCCCCCTCCCTGGCCACGTGGCAAACCTCCATGCTGGCTGAACTCAACTGGCACAGACATTTTCTTTTCTCCTCCTTTCCCCTCCTCTGGACAACTGTTGAAATTTACAGCTTGCCTGTCCTGGCTTTTTTCTTTTAAATTCTAGTAAAACTGTTCTTGATCATGCCCAGTGATGGTTGTTCACGCCTTTAATCCCAGCACTCCAGAGGCAGGTGGAACTCTGAGTTCGAGGCCAACCTGATCTATAGAGAGAGTTCCAGGACAGTTAGGGCTACACAGAGAACCCCTGTCTCAAAAACAAACAAACAAACAAAAACCCATATAAGCAAACAAACAAAAATTGTCCTTGATCTTAAAAAAAAAAAAATAATAAGTTAGGTTTTAACCAGGGGTGCTGGTGCCACCTTTAATCCCAGCACTCTGGAGGCAGAGACAGGCGAATCTCTGAGTTTCAAAGTCAGCCTAGTCTACATGTCAAGTTCTGGGCCAGGTAGGGCTACACTGTGAAAATCTGTCTGGAAAAAAAAAAGTTAGGTTTGAGGGAACAAGATGTGATTTGCAGCCAAGAATCTTTTCGGGGAGCCAGGCATAGTGGTGTTCATTTCTAAGAGGGAGGTTGAGGCGAGAGGCTTGAGAGTTCAAGACTATCCTGGGCTACATAACCACATAAATCCCAAAGGTTCATACCCTAAAGGTTTATTTCCCCCTCACAAAAGTCCAATGAACAGCAAGTTGGGGGAGGACTCCGCTCCACAAGTTCTTTTAAGCACTTGGGATGGCGGATGACCTACTACCTTAAACAAAGGACTCCCAGCCGGGACACAGTTTAAAAGCAAGATGTGACTCTTTATTAAGACCCACCTTGCAGCAAAAAATCAAGCACAGCCATCCCCTAACACAACCA